GAGAGAGAGAGAGAGAGAGAGAGAGAGAGAGAGAGAGAGAGAGAGAGAGAAACGAAAGAGCGATGAACGTTAGACAGAAGAGCCGATAACGTTGGACACCGTCATTTTCGTCCATCTGCCGCTGCAATTTTGCGGCACGCCGAAGAGGAATCAGCTTCCTCTCTACATTTGGGAAGATTGCTTCGGTAGTCAGCCAATAGGCTATACTTTGGCCCCAAACGTGATTCCACTGCAAACATTCTTACGCGTCGTCCTTTACCTCTTTCTCTCTTTTTTTCTTTCTCTTCTTCTTCCCTCCATTTTTTTTCTCTCTTTTAATTCCGCTTGATTTCCTGGTTCACGCCGAGGAAGGAAGCCATCGGGCAAACTTTTCCCGATACACGCATTAGCTCCTATACTCTACGAGAATTTCGTCTTATCGACGAAACACCAGAATCGATTTCCAGTACTTGGGAAAATTCGGTTTCTCCGACTTCCTTATCGTAATCGGGCTTCCCAATCGTAATGTGTACATGTGTGTGTGTGTGTGTGTGTGTGTGTTTATATGAAAAATAGTATGGAGTATGTAATAAAAGAGATATACACACAAGAGATATAGTATCGCGCTCTTGACGGAAACGCGTGCTTACCGTCGGTAAACCGAACTTCCGCGGACTTTGGTGCCGGAAAACTCGCTTTAAAAGGTTCGCTTGGCCCGTGCAGCTCCTCCCAGTACGTGAATCTTTTGTTTGCAAGCGAGGAGTGCGCGCGGCGTGTGCACTCGGGGCGAGGCACTCTCGGATGCCTCACCATCGATTGATCGATAGTCACGAAAAATTCAACCGCAACCGTATCCAACTGTGCATTACTTTTTCGTGACTCTTGATCAATCCGAAAAACGACAATGTGTTTTCAGGATGAAAAGTAACAGTGATGAAAGGCGATGTGATAAGCAGCCAGAAGCGAATGTGCCTTGTCGACAATTTCCATTTATCGATCTATTGAATCTGTCAAACCGGGTGTACTACACGGTGTTGCAAAACGGTTCAGACACAATGAGGTTGGGACCTCATCGAACTGTCGAAATTGAGAGTCATTACCAATGGACTTACGCAATAATAATATAATTAATAATAATAATTATATTTACATACAATTAAGAACACACTAAATGATAATATATAA